AAAAGAAGAGGAGGAAGAAAGAGCTGCCCGTCAGGACCCGTTAACAGATGAAGTAATTGGGCTCCGAGAAGCTGCCATCTGTCCAAGGTCACGCATCTAGGTGAGAAGGAGCTGCGGTTTAAACCCAGGCCATGTGTCTTCAGTCCTATCACATGACAACTGTTAGCTGTAGTTAGAAAGTTTTCCTTAGACAAGGCTAAAATGAAACCCAAGAGTTCCATGGTGATGGCAGAAGCCTGTGCCCTCTGTTCACCTCCACAACTATGAGGTGGAGTCAGGCCTTCAAATGTGGATTTGGATAGGGAGGGGCAGAACAGAGGCCAGGTCAGACTGTGAAATGGACAGAATCTTCACTCTCCTCTCAGCATTTCTCTTCTCCTCAGAGAGCCTCCTCTTCCTCTGACACCAAAGGCACCCCACCCAATCCCTGGGCCACGATTGGGACTTCTCTCTCCATACTGTGCTTGGTTACACCTGCCCCACTTAAGGGTCCTACTTAACCTTTTGTTTTTCCATATCATCATCTGTACAGGCGGGGCGGTCTCAGGCAAGTGTCCACTCTCAGAGTCTCTGGGCTTGGCACCCATGGACTTTCAACTCTAACATCCAAAGAACATGAGTCAAAAATGAGGTTGTCCGAAGATTGGGACAGAGTCCAATAAAGAACCCTATGGTTTCTCCTGAGCTACAGAGCTGTGGATAGAGGTTTGTACTTTGAATAGAGGGCCATGATTCAAACCAGGGTGTCGCCTCATTTTGGGTGGTATATGGACAACCATCTCCCATTGCTAATGCCAGCAGACGGAGGTGACACAGTCTGCTTGTCAGACCACTTCAGGGGCTAGTCTTATGTCTTCTCTTTGATATAAACTGTCCTACTAAAGTACCTTTCTGAAAGCTTATTTAAATGAAAACTTGAAAGACATGTAAGCACAGGTGGTAGGCGGACATGGCAAGAATAGGGAAGGTGGCAGTGAATGAATGAAATTGGGAAACATGACTTTCAGCAAACAAATGAATCTCCAGCAGGATGATGTCTACTGGAGACTGCTCTAGTGAAGGCAACATTTTGAGTTGAGATGTGCTTTCTGGTGTCCCTTATTTCACACCAGTCCTGAATCCAGGAAACTGGGAGGAAGGCACCCTTTGAAGGCATGCATGTTTTCCTTCTTGCAGGAATGGGGTAATTAGACCTAAGAAAAGGCACATTCTGTGCTGTTTTGCAGAAAGACCTGCCACTGACACCTGGCACTGCTCCTGGGCATGATAGTTACCCCTCTGAGCCTCAGGTTATTGAGGGCTAATGTACTTTGGAGCCAATAATGCCTACCTTGAAGGCTGTGGTGAGGATGAGACTAGGTGTGAGATAATAGAAAATATATATATTGGTCTCTGTCCTTGGTTCCTGTCCCAGAGCTCCATGTAATTTTCTACATTATAAGAGCACTAGGAGCATCTTTAGTTCTCATATTTGGTCTTTGGCCTCAGTTCCCGACACAGGGCTCCTGAAACCCTTGTAAATTCTTGGTTGATAAGAGTGTCTTATGTTCTAATGAGGTCACTCTGGGTGTGTTCCTGGATGGCTCCTGGATGAGGGCTGGTCACCAAGAAGGCCAAGCCATGATTGGAAGCTTGGATTTTTCAGCCCTGCCCCCATTCTCTTGAAGGGAGAGGGGCTGAAAAATGGAGTTAATGATTGATCATGCCTACATGATGAAACTTCCATAAAATCTCAAAAGAACAGGCTTGGAGAGCTTCTGAGTTGGTGAACGCATGGAGTCACACTTTAAAAATTAATGTGACCTCATTTTGTAGTCCTAAGCTGGTGAGGCCTAGAATTATTTCCTAGAATTGGTTCATACTGGTTATTACACTAGTTTATATGCCCACGCCCCCACCCCCACAGTGAACGCAGTGATTCCACAGACACACATGGACACACACACAGAAATAAGTAAAGGCATATTCACTTATGGAGCTGTGAGCTAGGGATCCTGACAGAAGGCAAGGAAGCAGGGAATCCGAGTTGGGAACAGGCAGACAGGGAGGGCTGCAGGGGATTCAGTGGACTCCAGGGTGGTAGCCTAGAAGTCTCCCTCTCTTGCCCCCAGCCTCTCCCTTCTCTTCCTCTTCTCTCTCTCTCTTTTTTAAGGATTTTAGTTATTTGAGAGAGAGATGGAGAGTACAGAGGGAAAGGGAGAGGGAGAAGCAGACACCCACTGAGCAGGGAGCCCGATGTGGGGCTCGATCCCAGGACCCCAAGATCATGACCTGAGCCAAAGGCAGATGCTTAACCATCTGAGCCACCCAGGCACCCTCTCTCTTTCCTTTTTTTTCCAAACAAATATTTTGTGAGCACCTATTGTATGCCAGACACTGTTCCAAGCACTGAGCACACAGCAGGGAACTCTGAGCACTGGATACTGAACACCCATCCTTGGTCTCTTGTTTGCCTCCTCGTGTTCTTGGATCCTTGGCAAATAAAGCCATCTGACTGCACATGACAATGGGGTCCTAAGTGTTGTCTCAGATCCGGCCCCTTGCCACTGTCCTCTCCAGACAAGCACACTCTATCAGATGTACCATGCCTTCCCTTGGCAAATATTGAGCACCAGCTGTGCGGCAGGCACTGTGCTAGGCTCTAGGGATACCTCATTGAGCAAAAGAGACCCAAATTTTGTCCTGAGGCTGACATTCTCCTTGGGGGAGACAGACCATATACACTGAATATAACTGGTGCTCCTCAGTGTCTCCTGACCTCACCTTCTAAAATCTGCCACCTCACTTTCCAGGAGGACCCTCCTTCTTTGGCCCTTTGCAGCTGGGCTCCCCATGCTGCTGGGCTCTCTTTGAGCTTCAGTCTCCTCCCTGGTAAAATGGAGATGACTGTAGTAAAATTAACAGAAAACTAGTGGCTCTAGCATGTGTACAAGCATTTAAGGAACATGCCAGAACTGCAGAATCCTGGGCCCAACCCCAGAGATTCTCATTCTGCACTTCTGGGCTCAGGTGCCCCGGATGATGCTAAGGCAGGGGGTCCTGCACGGGAGAACTCCAGCCCCACCCAGAGAGACCGTTCTAGATGATGAAGGGGAAAGGGAAGGTGCTCTCTAAATGTCAGCTGTGTTAATACTGCCCACAAGGAATACCGTGCTGGGATAACTGGAGCAACTGGTGTGACATGCCCGCTCTGGAGGTGGTATGAGTGGCTGCGAAAATGCAGCCCTCAATCTGCTGCCACGGGGAACCTAATTGATGATGGTCCCAGTTGTCACCTTTCTGGATCTTCCCTCGTCTTTGTGCAGAGACTGACCCCAGCTAGTGACAGAGCAGGGTGGAGATGCTAATCCCCAGGTTCATGCCTAGAAGACACAGGACTGTGGTAACGAGAAACTTCAGCTTGAGGATTCCCCATTTCCCTTGCCAGAACATTCCAGGAACCATGAGGAAGTCCAAGACTTTTCAGTGTCTTCCTCTTTCCTGCCTGCTCTCCTTCACAGGTGTCTGACCTGCATCTCTGTGTAAGGGCTGTCTCTAACTTCTTTAGCGCCCCTTATTCTTTGCAGGTGTTATCACCAGTAAATCTCTTTCACATCTAGTCCCGTCTTGGCATCTCTTCCCCGAGGACCTGGACTACCACCCCTGGCGTGGTCTGTGACAGCAGAACAGCCTTCGGTCGTGTCCTGTTTATGGCCCCTCGCCTTCCCGGTGGCAGCCACGCTTGAGCAGTGCACGAGGGAAAGCCAGGGCTGGGCCCTCCCAAACCATTTATCCTCAGCCTGGCCAGGCCTGGCACAGCCACGCTGACATGCCACCAGTGCCTCTTTGGGGGCTGTTCCTGCCTGGTGCAGGGGTTCAGAGCACGGCCGCTGGGGTTAGCTTGTTCCAATGCTACATGGCCTGGTGCAAGTTACTTAACCCCTCTAGGCCCTAAAGCTGTACTCACGTCCTGGAGCCATTGTCCGAAACGTTTAGTATTGCCCTGCTGGCAGGTTCCCAGCCCCCTAGCAGCGTGCTACAATTTCGGGAGTGCTGGGCAAGTACCTTGCCTTCCCCTTGCCCCTGACCTGCTCAGACTAAGCTCTCTGTGGTTTCTGCCACTCCTTTGGGTGGAGAGGCCGTGTGGTACACTGGAAACGCCCTGGTTCCAGGCCAGCTCAGCCACTTCTAGCAACAGAGTTTCTATAGGTCACTTTTGTTCTCTACCGTTCAGTTTCTGTATTCGCGAATTTAAGAAGGTGAACGTCTTTTTTTAGAGGCTGGGCTTTACTTCTAGCTGCAAGAGTCTATGACAGGATAGCACTCTCAGAGGCAAACTTCGAATTCTTCCACTCTTTCTGTTAAATGTACACTAGACACATCGGTTCAGTTCTGTTCTAGGCCGTGGGGATTCAAAACTGAAAGGAGGATGCCTGGGTGGCTCCGTGGGTTGGGCGTCTGCCTTCAGCTCAGGTCATGGTCCCGGAGTCCTGGGGCTGACCCTGCATCAGGCTCCCTAATTGATGATGGTCCCAGTTGTCGCCTGGCTCCCCATCGGTGGGGAGTCTGCTTCTCCCTCTGCCTCTGCCTCTAACCACTCCCCCACCCCCAGCTCTTGTTCTTTCTCTCTCGCTCAAGAAAACAAAAACAAAAACTGAAAGGAGAAGGGCTTTGCCCTTAAGCTGCTCAGAGTCTTCCTAGAGAGACAAACATGTCCACAGATGATTCCAGGACGATGAGGATTTTGTCATCACCTAGAGATGAAAGACTGCTGTCTTGGCTTTTACTAACATTTTGCAATGGGAAGTGGGAGAGGTGCAGGAAATCACTTCCTGATGATGTTTGGCTCAGAGAGGAAGGACAATGTGTTTCAACATCCCTTGCTTTAAAAAAAAGAAAAGAAAAGTGTATTTATTTTCATTGAGAAGAAGAAACCAACTAACTGTGGAGGTTAAACGGATAGGGAGAGTTCATTTTTCTTCTCCGGGTCAAGAGGCCAGTTAATGATTAGTGCCACCCAAGCGGGTGTTTGGTGTCCAAAACTTTGAGAGGCTGGCTTGTAGGAGTCGGCTTCACCCCAGCTCTGAGAATTGCAGCTCAGCAATGCCCCCAGGTCTCAGGAAGATACAGTTCTGCTCATGGGGTCTCCTTTTGTGGCTCAGCGTTGGAAGTGCAGGTAATTCGGGGACTCGGCTAATTGGGTGGAATTTCTTTGTCAGAGGTTCTAGTTCCTAAGCCATCTATTTATGCAGTGCTAACCTTTGGAAGGTCCCCTAAAAGCCCTCTCTTGAGATGAATTTAAAAGAGGGAGGAAAAAAACCCTACAATCAGAAAGGGACTGATGGTGACCAGGACACTCTCTCAAGCCCCCTAGTTCTTGTACTCTTTTCTCTAAAAGCTGCATTAATCCTCTTTACCTGGCACAAGCCAGGATGACTCTAAAAAAATAAGACTTGATTAATTCCAAAATATGATTTACATTCCCCCTATAAATATCCGGTGTACCAAGATATATTTAATTTTAAAATTTAAATTTTCCATGGGGCGCCTGGGTGGCTCAGTCGTTAAGTGTCTGCCTTCGGGG